GAGGAGTCTTTCTAGTGCATTTTTCTCATCAAACTGTTCACCTACAATTTTTTTGTTATACTAAAGAGAACAGCTCTTTTATCATTTNATCTAATCAGCTTCTAGAGCAGAGGTTGGCAAATTTTTCCTGAAAAGAGCCAGATAATAGGCATTTTTGACTTTGGAGGCCAAGCGGTCTCTCTTGAAACTAGGCGTCTCTGTCTGCTCCCCTCACTGTAATAGCACACATGCATCCATAGGCAGAGCAAAAAGTATGCCCAGATCTGGCCCATAGGCCATAGTTTGCAGACCTCTGCTCTAGATCTAACTCCAAGTTTACAGGACATACAGAAGACAGAGGAACTTGTTAAACAGCACCACGTGAACGTAGTTAGCAAAATCTAGACTAGGGATCTACAGGACAAGTTACCTGTTTTCATCAACAAACAAGTTCCAAGGAAAAAGTTTTTTTCTTTTCAATGGTGTCAGGCTAGGGTTCAGACCCTTCAAACCCGTTGTACAGACTGGGTCACAGACCCCTCCTGTGCGGGCTGGGTCACCAGACCCCTCACATATAGGTCATGAGCTAGGTAATTGGAAAAAGATCCCGGGGGCTGCCAGCAAAGTTGATGTGCTTCATTTGGACATGAGCTCAGTCCCTAGCTTCCTCAGCAGCAGCTTAACAGCAGCCTTCAGCAGATCCAGCAGCAGCAGTGGTGGCCTCACGGGGCATCCCGGGGGCCCTGGCAGCAACAGTTTGCGGCCACAGCCTCCAGCAGCAGTAACAGCCTCCTTGTGGCCCCCCTGGGGCGTACAGGGGTTGGGAGGGCCCTGTGGATCAGAGCCACTTGTCCTTTATACTTAAGTCCAATAACCCAGGAATACCTCGGTGCAAGTCAGACAACCCAGGAAACATGGGTGCCCATGCACATCTACATCAGACAATAACCAAGGAGCACCTGGGCGCATGTGCACAGTTATATTTACATCAAATGCATGGCAAGATTGCGAACCCTCAAGGGAGCCTGACAATTACATTCACTTTCCTTAAAAGTGGGAATTCTCTAATTCAAATGGGTATATATATATTTTAAATCCTTAGGTTTAGAATATATGTTGAAAAGATTTTGAATAATATTATGCGATGCCCACAGTTTGCTTGAAAATACTCTTTGATTTGAGAAAAAATAAGTCATGAGTTGATTTTTGTTTTATCTGGATGTTGAGTACTGCAGGTTTATTATATTTTTGTATATATTTGAAATCTTCCATGATATAATATTTCAGGAAATACATACATTTTATCAAATATATCACTTGAAACAATTTTTTAGAAAATGAGAAGGGATGCAGTACTTCCCCTTCATTAGATACTTCTGGGTCCTCCCAAAACAGGTGTGAAGCATCTGGCTAAGAGCTGTAGCCAGAGGAGTCTTTCTAGTGCATTTTTCCCATCAAACTGTTCACCTACAATTTTTTTGTTATACTAAAGAGAACAGCTCTTTTATCATTTGCTCAAGTGTTATATGTAAACTCTCTTATTTTATTTTGCGAAAAAAAAAAAAAAAGAATGTATTAGGTAGAAAATAAGCTTCATCTTTTGTCACTGGATATCCTGGTTGGAAAAAAAAAAGAATGTATTAGGTAGAAAATAAGCTTCATCTTTTGTCACTGGATATCCTGGTCTCCATTGTTTAGTCGGTTGGCCCTGGTTCTGTTCAGGGTCTGGTCATAGGCGCTGAGCAGCCTATACAGGTCAGGTGAGTGAGGCAGCCAGCAGGTGAGAGCAGGTACACCCTGGAAAGCACATGTCAGCCCCTAAGTGATGGCTCTGTAGGATGTTTGCCTTGAGAGCAAGGAACCAGTGGTACCAGAAACTTCTATTCTTTTTCATTTTTCCCCAAGAATAATTCTAAATCCAGACTTGTATGTGACATCTGAGTTTTAGTTGCTTAAATATTTTTAGAATGCTCTGTATTCCAAACCAAACCTTTGAGCAGCTGGATTAATCCATTGGTCAGCCTCTAATTTAGTAATGACCAGTGGTAAGGCCCTCAATTAGACCCTGTGGGCACCAGGATTCTGAAGTCCCAGGGCCCTGCTTTCTGTGAGCTTCCAGTCTAGTGGGGAGGAAAGAAAACATACTTGAAAACAACTGAAATGAGAGGTGCAGATAGAAAATGCAATAGCAATTCAGTGAAGGGGGTGAATAACCCCATCTGGGACAATCAGGAAAAGCTTCACACAGGCCATGGAAGGAGTTGGGGGGAACATACCAGCTGCAGCTGGGTGGAGAGTCAGGGAGAAAAGCAAAAGCTCAGGCTTGGGAAAGACCAAGTGCCATCAACAGAAAATACAACTCTTTAAGAGGACAGTTGGTAAGTTTTGGAGACTAGTGGCCTTCCATAGTCCACCAATGGAGAATTTTTTTCAGGCCAAAGTAGTTTTCTACAGTCGAGTAAAAATAGGCAGCAAACTGTTGAAAGTATAGAACTGAAATTCAGCAGAGGATTTGAGCTGCAGTCTTGAGCATCACCTGTGCAGTGGTGATGGTTGAAGCCATTGGGTCTCTAGAGAGCATGTTCCTAGTCTGCCATTAGCAAGTGGTGCATTTATAAATGTAGAGATGTTTTGAGTCTGGCATTTGAAAACTACCAGTTGATTATTTACTACACTAAATCATGCTTAAAGCTCAATGCAGTACCCAATTACTTCAGAAACGTACTCCACACTGGAAAGTAGAAAAGTTTAGACTAAGGGAAACCAGAAGTACATGGGAAAAGAGAAACCCAACATTTGGAAGGATGTGCCTTTGGCGATGGCTTTTTGATAGGTTTATAATCTCCTCAATGATGGCCTAAACTAGAGGCTTTTTTTTTTTAACTGTCATGAAAATATTATTCAAGAAATGGAAACACTTAAACAGATTTATGGTTCTATTGATCTGTGCAATACATCTGGGCAGCAGTTTTATTCTTTTTCTAAACTTTCTTTAAAAGTTTAAAGTGCAATTGCTCTTAAAAATGAAAATAAACAGGAGGTTACTGTGTTCTTCCCACTACAGGATCTGCTTGTTCTAGAGATTATTTCAAGACCTGAGAACACCAACAGTTATTTCATGTAAAATATTGTCTGTTTGGGCATGACAGTGTTTCATTATTAGGAATTACACAAGCCAAAAGTAAGTTAAGGATCAACACCCACTCTCCTGGCTACTGATCTTTGGAGAGAAATGAAAGCTTATTCTTAGACACATATAAGCCAGGTGAGTTTAGACAAGTGAACATTTGGGCTTGGAAACTGAGGCCAAAGAAAAATTATGCCCACAACATCAATCAAAAATAGCTCTGATTCCAAGTTCTGCACAACCGTAACACTGTCCCAATGCACTGTTATGAAACTGTACACAGACATCCCTCAAAAATGTCCCAAGTCCCAGAAACCAAAAAACAAAACAAAACAAAAAAACACCCATGGCAGCTTTCCCCCATCTCATAATGAAACTGTTCTTTTAGCGAAAACTCATAACCAAGCAAAATTCTGCTCAGTAAGATAACTATTTATTTGGGGGACTGTCTTTGCTGCCTCCAATACATCGGAGCTGTTAGATTTCTCACTGTCACTGATCCTTTCTCCCTGTTTTACTGTGTTCTTTATGTATTTGAATGGATCGACTTTAAGCTCCCAGAAGCAAAACCAGTCTGATGTCCTTTAACCAGTCTGATGTGAGTGTGCAGTTGAAATATTTATTCATGCATTTGCTAATCCGGGAGGATTTCTTTGGAGGGGCTTGGGGAATAAAGATTATGGCGTGCTGAAGGGAGATGCCAGAATAGGCTAGATTGCGAGAGCCAACAGTTGAGATAGGTGACGTTGGCACTAGTCACTGGATCTGACCATGTGCAACAAAGATGCACAAATACTTATGGTGACTTTGTGGTATATTAAATTTTAAAGAGGAAATTTATTGTCTGAAACAAAGAGTGAGTGAGAGGGAGGAAGGGAAAACAAAGTTCCTAATTTTTAGATAAAATGAGTAAAGCTTCCATAGTCAGGATTTGGAAGCTCTCCAACATCCAGCAGGCTCCAGGAAACTCGGGGGATTGTCATGGTATCAGAGCCAGTCCTAGGTGCCAAAGTCAAAATAGGCCACGCTGGCCAGAGTAAAGCCCAAGTAGAAGCGTATGTAGGTCACTTACACGTTTTGAATTTAGACAGGCTGAGTTTATGCAATTATTTTACAATTAAGCTCTGGAGAAACACTGAATGTTCGAAATTTTTAAAAAGGTGCTTGTTTCACAGTATGTGAGAAAATTGCAACATCAACTTGAATGATGGCCTTAGTGGCTTACCTTGTAGCCCTGTGTGTGCAGGGGAAGCCAGGTAGGGAATTCTGTCTGTGCTGACAGTCCTCACCCAACCCAGTTTTGGCACTTTCCTTGGAGAGTGTTTGGCACTAATGGAAGGCTCAGGACTCAACACAAGCATCTTCTTAGCCACACTCAGTAAACACCACTGCATTTTCTCAGCCACATTGATGCAATGAAAAATAATTAATAAAAATAGAAAATACTCATAAGCCAGTGGATTTAATCCCGCAGTATTGAATATCTTCTATTACCAGGGTGGGAAGTACAAAAATTGTATAGAAGGGAAGGCAGGGAGACACCAGATGCCACTTATGTCCAGTGCTGTCCTTGTGCCCTTTCTTTCCCTAGAGCACACAAAGACGCTATTTTCCCCTCTCTCCAGGTCACCTGTCTCTTAAAAGGCTTCCCTCTGTTTTATTCTCTGCAAACTCTCCCAGCCTCCCACATGTTAGTGTACTTGACAAAGGGACAAATTGGCTCCATAGGAGACTTGTGCTTAGCAGGAGATCGGGCCTGTGAGGGGGGGACCAAATGAACAAGATCATGGATTCTGCTTTTGTTTTACCAGCTGCCACTGTTAAGTTCTTATTTAATGAAAGTATTTGCTTTTCCATAAATACATGTAAATCTCCTACCTCTTATTTGTTACAGCCAAAGAAAGCTCCGTAAGTGGTAATCAAGGAAGGAAGCTTATTTAAAACAAATCACTGTAATTGAGACTATCTGGGTAAGCAACACCATCCTCACAATTCATGAATTTGCCAATTGTTCTGCCCAATTGTAGCTTTAAAACTGTCACTTGAATTTATTTTAATTAACACTTGTTTAATTAAAAAAGTGATATGATTACAGTAAAAGAGTCAAGTACGTGTGGTTGTAAGATAATCATAGCAACCGGAGGGGTTCACTCCCTTGTTTCAAACCCTCCAGTGGTTTCTCGTGACCCTGAGAATGCAATCCAAGGGCCTCACCAGGCTCTGCAGGCCCTGGGGGATCTGGGCTCTGCTTCCGCTCCCCACTCCTCTCCTGTCCCTCCTCCACGTCTTTCACTTCACATCCACGCTGGCCTCCAACACACCAAGTCTGTTCCCACCTTGGGGCGCTGGCCCTGCCTCCCCTGTGCCTTGAGCTCCTTCCCCAGCAGTGCGTGGCTGGCCTTTCCCACCACTCAGGCCTCCTCACCTGTGTCCTTGCTGCGGAGGGGGCTCCCTGGTGACCCTCTCTAATGCAGCCCACCCCAGCCCTTCATCCGCTCACATCGCTTTGTTTTATTATCGTGGACTTTATCCCTCTCTGCACATTCTCTATTGCTGCTGGTTTGTTTTCTGTCTCCCCTCTAGAATGTAAGCCCCATGAGGACAGGGGTCTTGCCCATCTTATTGATAGTCATATACCTAGCACTTAGAAAAGGGCCGGGCACACAGTAGCCCCTTCATAAATATTGGTTTAATTGAGCAAAGAGAGGTTATGAGAATTAAATAATGATTAGTATAGTGTCTGGCACAGAGCAAGAACCCAACGAATGGAAGTTTGCTTCCTCTCCCTCCCATCTCGCTGGGGTGTGTATTGATGACTGATTTAATCCGCGCTGTTCTGTATTAACATGGCATTCAGTTATGATGAGTACAGTAAAGTATACCTAGCTGGGTACAAAGTAGTCCCCCAAAGAGTGTTCATATTAAGTATAATTTAAACAATCTTGTGTCTGACTTTTCAGGTCGTCCTTGCCGGAAGGAACCATGAATTGGTATTTTCCCTTCTTCCTCTTGGCCACGGTGACTTTGCCCTCCATCTGCTCCCAGTTCAATCCTCTGTCTCTTGAGGAACTAGGCTCCGACCTGGGGATCCAGGTTTTCAATCAGATCATCAAGTCACGGCCTCATGACAACATCGTGGTTTCGCCCCATGGGATTGCATCGGTCCTGGGGATGCTTCAGCTGGGGGCGGACGGCAGGACTAAGAAGGAGCTCACCACGGTGATGCGGTACAGCGTGAACGGTGCGTGTGCTCCCCGCGTGCCACACCCACTGGCCGGGGCCATTGCCCAGGACGCCTGCCCCGGGAGGGTCATTGCTTGGTCTTTACTTTCAACCCTGAGAAGTGCAGCAGCCAGGAGGGGTTTTGCTGGGGCGATCTGGGGCTGAGGGTCAGTCTCTTCTGAAGGACAGATGCTGGGGTGCTGGAAGTCAGGAGAACTGGACTCAGGTCTCTGCTCTGTAGCTGTGTGGCTTCAGGTCAACGCTCCAGTCTTCTCACCTCTGAAAGGAATCGTCCTGTCTCACCCTCCTCTGTGGTGTACAGGGCTAAAGTGCTTTGTGGTTGTGAGTGTGCTTAGAAAACATGTGAGCAGGGGAGGAGGTAGGGTGGCTAAGGAGGGCGGCACAGGGGAGCCTGTGGTGCAGGAACTGTCCCGTGGTCACACAAATGCACACGGGGGATAAGACTGCGTGGAGCTGCACCCACAACACGAGTGCACATAGAATGAGCTCTGTGGACCTTGTACCAGTGGCAATTTCTTGATACCATGATGGTACCATTGGGAAGAGTTGGGGGAAGGGCACACGGGACCTCCCTGTTTATTGTTTTGCCACTTCCTGTAAATCTATAATTATTTCAAACTAAAAAGCTAAAACACTTTTTTAAAAAGTAAGGCCCAATGAAAAAGGTTTAGTTTTAGTGGAAGAAAACCCTATTTTTAATGACCTGTTTACCTGTCCAGGCTTGTATCTCCTGGCACTGTTGTTTTGTTTTATCTTAGGGGTTCTTGTCCAGAGTTATCTCCTGCCTACCTTTTCCATGAGTGCACTACACAGGGAACAGGATTGGCTTCTAAGCCCTTTTTTGCCACCGATATGCACTGTGACCTTGAGCAAGTCCCATTTCACATGTAGGTCTTCGTGACTTCATTGGAAAACAAGGGTGTTTCCGTCCCCTGTGGTCTTCTACCTGCTAGTCATAAAGTTCTAAGGACCTTGACTGCATTGGCGCCTTCAGCTGGGAGAGTGCAATGAGAGGGCTGGGGGTGCTTGTCCTTTGCTGCCTCACTCTGCACCCCTCTTTGACTCTGTTCTCAGTGTAGCCTCCAAGGCTTTTGGCACCCAGTGCCTAACAGCACTGCTCTGGTGACGTGGCACTCAACTTTTGCATGAGTTTGCAGTTTGTTCACCTGTTGGAAGCGTGGAAGGGCTAAATACTTGGAACACATTGTTCTGCCCCTTGGTTGGATGTGCAGAAAACTCTTGGTGATTTATAACTTCACAGTGAATCACTGTTAAAATTTATGGCCTTTCCTAGTGTGATCCAGGCCCTGTTAGCCGATACAGTTCCAAAATAGCCACTGGGTTTTTGTTGTTCCCTTCAGTGCAGAGCCACACTAATTGTAAGTCATAGAGGTTTTGATGATGTTGGACTATTGGCCACCAACACCTCCACTTCCACTCCACCCTTTCTCCCTTCTGAATGGCTAGTGGTCCTATTGTAGAATGTGACTTGAGCTTGCATGACAAATTCATCCAGGAGGCGTAGATCTCATGATACTGATGCACCCATTGAGGAAGGAGGCAGGCTGTTTGGGACAATGGAGGAGGCTCTGTCCTGACCACCTCCCTGCAGGAAATACCACGGTGTGTGGAAGACACAGTGTTAGCCAGGTGCTGGGTGCTGGCACTTGGCGTTGGAGGTGTCTTTTAGCCTCCGAAGCCTGCTGTCCCCTTATTCATGAAATGGGCCTGCCCCGCAGAATGGTTGTGAGAGGCACTCATCGTGGGAGGTCTAAGAAAGGGCCATGCACACTGTAAAGCCCTGTACGGTCCCCTCTTTGTGGTCCATGCCCTTATGAAAGGAGTGTGAAGAAGATGCACATCCAGAGTGACAAGTTGGCTCTTTGGGAGACCATCAAGGTGACTCTGGCAGGAGGTTTTAGGACAGTGTCTTTTTGTAAAGACCTTAAGTGACTAAGAAGGATTAGTAACTTGAGCTCTCTGTAGAAACACGTTTCATCCTTGTAACTTATTTTCCTCTGTTTCATGCTCTGAAACTAAATGGAGCACGTAAGAAGGGCTCACGTAAAATAACACTTACATTGCCAAAAATTAATCTCCTTACTTCCTGAGCTTGATGTCAAGTAAAAATCACATTGTTCTAGAGGGTGGCACATGGCTATTCTTCATAGTTTTTCTAATGCTTATTTTATTCATTTTTTTCCAAAATGGAAAAAAGAAATTGCATTGTTAAAAGCTTTGGCAGGATAGGAAATAGCACTTAAGATTGTTAGAGGAGAAAGACAGAGAATGAATTAGGAAGTTGTCTTTGATGTACGCCCCCACGGCCACACAACTGAGGAGCATGCCAGCCTTCACACTGACCTGGTGCCCAGAAAGGCTGCCAGGGGAACGAGGTCGATGCTGGGAATGCATTGAGAAGCACAATCAATTTTGAAGAACTTTAGGATTTAGATTGGATTTTAACCTCCCCCCTCTTAAGAAATAGGCTACTGGGAAAGCAGAAGACAGTCTCATGCTACTCAAATATACCTGTTTATGCTGTTCTTATTTGATGTAATACAAAAGGTTTCTTTAAAAAGACTTTTCTTAATTCTTAGGAAATATCGCTGTATTTCCTGATTTCTCCTTTAGGAGTTGGTAAAGTGTTAAAGAAGATCAACAAAGCCATCGTCTCCAAGAAGAATAAAGACATCGTGACAGTGGCTAATGCGATGTTTGTCAAGAATGGCTTGAAGACGGAAGTGCCTTTTGTTATGAGGAACAAGGATGTGTTTCAGTGTGAAGTCCAGAAGGCGGACTTTGAGGATCCAGTCTTTGCCAGTGACTCCATCAATGACTGGGTTAAGAATGAAACCAGGGGTGAGTGGCCACAATATTTTGTGTGATTTTACACTTTGTGAAAGAAAGGGTGAGTTCGACTCTAAGATTCTAAGTGGTGGCTGCAAGTCCAGTGGCCCCTCCATTGAGAAGTGCCTGGTCCCCAGCGGACTCTGGTCTTTCTTTTCTTTCTTAGCAGGCCCCAGGGCTCAGTCTACCTTCCTTCCCCTTTCCTGCTCCGACCGTTCCCTGTCCGCCTTGGGGGTTTTCTCCCTGGAGTGCGGGCAGCGCAGCGGGATCCAGCCCCTCTGACTCTCTCCTTCCTGGCCGCCTCTCGTCTGGTCTCCAGAGCCCGTGCCCACAGCTCTTGCCTGTCTTGAAGGTCTCCTGGCTCATCTCATCTTGCTTTTGCACCTACTGTTCCTTTTGCCTGGAATGTCTTTCTCCTCCTCTGGGATTGATCTCTCTCTCTACTTTCTCAGCCTCTTGCCCCCTCATTGGTTGTGACTGGCATGTCACACCTTTTGCAAACTCCTCCAGTATCGCCCCTTCCACATGGTGTAATGATGACTCTTTTATGTGGGTCTCCTCTCCCATTCAGTGGGGGAACTGTCTAATGTCAGTTGTAAACCTGTTAATATGTAAACTGGAGGCCTGTGTGGAAACATTCAGAAGGAGCTGTAGGTCTATGAGAGCAGAGGGATGTTAAGGCTAGAGATCCAGGTTTGGGAGCCTTTTTTGTAGAAAGGAGAGTTGGAGTCACAAGAATTGAAGCAAAAGAGACTCAACAGGGAGAAGCAGCCCAAGGACAATGTTTGGGCAAAACTAACCTTTCAGGGCATGTTTCTCAAAGCATGGTTCCCCGTGCTCCTGCACCAGAATTACTTGGAGAGTATGTTTAGAATGCAGATTCCTGGGCCCCAGACTACTGGATCAGAATCTCGGAGGGAGGGGCTGGCAATGCCCAATCTACCTTCACCAAAAGAGGAACTAGTGAAGAGGCAGATTAGGAATGCTCAGAGAGGGTAGAGGAGACCCAGGGTGGTTTTGGTAAATCCAGGGCGTCCCTTCTCAACTGGACCTGGACCGTGCACCCGGACTCCCTTCCTGAAACTGTGAGAGATCAGGAGACCAGCAGATGTGAGGGTTTCTGCAGGCCTGAGAAGAGTGACCAGAAGCAAATGCACCATGACCGGTTCCTGGTCCTGACACTGTGACTGGATGGCTGTGTGACTGTGGCACGTCCTGGCGCCCACTCAGCCTTCTTTCCCTATGGAATGGTAATATTAAGTCATGTTCCTATACCACCTGTTGGTTTTCAAAGCCCCTGGACGTGCTGGGAAGGGAGAGCAACAAGCAGTGCTTTTCACCCTGTGAGACACAACTCCTTCTTTGTAAAGAACTATTTTTAATACTCCCTTTACTATCCTGAAATGAAAGCCATAGATCATATACCCTATGTATGCATACACACATTTTTTTTTTTCCTTTTTATCTTTTTTACTGACCGGTAACGGGATCGCAACCCTCGGTGTTGCGCCCGCACCACGCTCAACCAGTGAGCGGGAACTGGTGTCCACATGGGATCTGAACCCTCGGTGGGAGCACCGCCACACTCCCAGGCGGCGCACTCTCCAGTGTGCCACCGGGCCGGCCCCATACACACATTTAAGAGAAATCAATGCAATACCAAACTGTAATACAAGGGAAAACAAAAGTAAATTTTATATGTAGTTCAATATCTAAACCCTTAGGTACAGCTGCACCCAAATATATAGTAAAGTAGTCAGATTATTGGAATAAGTGTGAATTGACAGCCTCAGTGTGGACCGAGGCAGATATGTTGCACTGGTGACACAAAAAGCACACGCTGTGTTACCATTGCTTATTCAATTTTTTCTGAAACAGTGCAAAACTCTTCATAAATTTCCAGGCAAAACAAGGTACAGGCTCATTTGATTTGCATGGCAGTCACATTCCTGGCAAATTCAGTGTACCAGTGTGCATTAAAAGGATGCAAAAAACAAAACAAAACAAAACACCTTTGTGTTTATGTGCAAAAACGAGTGAGGTCCTGGGCTCAGATAATTACAAGCAGGTTTCTCATCAATAGGGATATCCAGTGGGGCACTTGAAAGTCACAAGAAGCAGGACAGTTCTGCATGCATCGTGTGGGACTGTTTTGAACACTGCAGGGCACGTAGCATCTCTGGCCACTGCTAGGAATCCAAAAACACTCCCACAAATTTCCAAACTTCCTCTTTGGAGTGAACTCCCCCTCTGAAAGGTACTTGACTCCATGACAGAGCTCAGAGGTACCTTGGAGCTCAAACAGTCTCTGTCCAGGAGCTTGCCACGTCCGTCCCATGGAGATGATAGTTCCTTCCCTACAGAGAGTGGGAGAGCCAAACACCGAGGCCCTTGGCAGTGTGCTGGTGATGGGGCTGACCTGCCGGCCACCCTGCAGGCTCGGCTTCTTCTCAGAGTACTTGTGTCCCAGCCACACGGGCCTCGTCCCAGTCCCCTTCTCGCCATCCTCTCTCCTATCACAGACTCCCACATGTGCATTCCTGCTGCCTGGAATGCTTCTCCTCCCTCTTCTCTATGTTAATACCTACTTATTTCTACAGCATCCCATGAGTGGCATAATAGTTAAAAGAACAGTTCTGAGTTCAAATCTCAGTTCTGCCACATACTAGCTGTGTAGCCTCAGGCAAGTTACTTAACCTCCCTGTG